TACCAGTCAAGACTGTTGACAAAAGCAGTATGCTCTAAATTATTTAGCTTACTCACTCCTTCAATTAATAAACCTTTATTAGCTTTCTTTCTTTCTCAACAAACAATATTATATACTTGAAGCAAATATGTAAGCATTTTTCCCCTCCAATAAATATCTCAGATTTCAAAACACTCTAGTGCAGAGCAAAGTTGCCAAGATTTAGGAGGAAAAAAACAAATTTTTATACCACCCATTAGCTATGGGACTGCTGTAATATGCATGACAGAATTTTGTAAAGGAAAAACATCATAGAATGAATGTGAAAGGGGAACAAAAACTTTCCTTTTTCCTATTTTTGCATTTATAATATAGAATATTGATTCTAAATGATCTGCACCATCCAGGAAAGTACCTACCTGATATGCTTTAAAAAAAATACAGTTACTATGATAGCTGTATAAAAACAAATATAAGGGAGCCCCCTGGGTGGTTCAGTCAGTTAAGTCATTGCCTTCAGCTCAGGTCATGATCCCAGGGTCCTGGGATCAAGTCCCTCATCAGGCTCCCTGCTCAGTGGAGAGCCTGTCTCTCCCTCTCCCTCTGCCTGCTGCTCTGCCTACTTGTGCTCTCTCTATCTTTCTGTCAATTAAATAAATAAAATCTTAAAAAACATATATGTAGTATTTCAATTCTTATAAACCATATCCCATAGCTCAAAAAATATTTGGTGGAACGTGTACAACACAGGTTGGTTGAATTGAAATATTTCGATGGTTAAAGAAAAGACAATAGCATGATTCAAACCTCAGGAGGCACATATGATGAATGCTGTAGAACTTAAGTATGTTGTGTCAAGGAAAACTGGTCAAGGACAAACCACCCTTAAGCCTGAAGAAGACATCAATTCTACACAAAAGCTTTCAGGGCTGCATTTTCTGAACAACAGTGACCTCAAGGGCCCTCAGAAATATGACTCATGCCCCACTAAAGCAGGACACATCAGCTGGCATTCAGAACTGGGAACAAAGTATCTGAAAGCTTACCCACTCTTCTTTATAGTGTTCCAGTAAGCTGCATTTTGCTTTTACCTGTATGTAGCCATGTGGCTTATTTTTTTAACCTATTGTTTTTCCTCTCCAGATTCAGTATTCCATCTCCCGCAACAATGAACATTTCGAAATGACATTAAATACCAAATGCAAAAGCAAATGTCTTTTAAACAAGGTTCCTCCATCTACCCCCAAGGAAGACCAGTGCTTACCCATTTTGTTGAACCTCATCTATTTTCTCATCCAAAGAAGAGGCCCCACCAGCCTCTGTTAACATTGGGATGATTCAGTTCAGGAATTAGGAAAGCTCTGTAAAGGTACCACACCTAGATCCTAGATCCTTCCTTTCCTTTTGCTCCCCTTGTTATGTTAAGTATGGTACTACTCACAGGGGAAAAATCTCTATACCCGAATTCACCCTACCTATTCTCCTCCTCTTTCATAAGTGCATCTTTATAGGCTATGGGAAAATGCTAGCACCAGGCCCACATGGGAGGTACCCAGCGAAAGTCATACTTCTGTAGAGGACAAATTTCCCAACTCCTTCATCAACTTTTTCTCATTCTCTTTTAATGATCTCAAGTCCATATGATTTTTTTTTTTTTGAAAGTCACACAAAAGTAACCACTACTGCTATGGTGTTAGGCAATCTATTTAAACTGTGAACCTCTGTTTCTTTATCCGAAAAAATATTACCTCAGAGATCATTATTTCTGAGACAAAGACCAACAAACTCAAGTCATTTAAAATGGAGATAATATTTCAGAGATCATGTGTGCAATAATAATACCTCCCATATGCACAAGGCTATATTGGCAACTTCAGATCCTATGATACATGAGCCTTGCAATACCCCTACAGGATGACTGAGTAATTATTCCAATCTCCCATTTTATGGATGAGTATTTCCAATGCCCTCATCTCTTAAGTTCCTTTCTAGTTTTCATATCCTGTGGTGGTGTCTAACAGAAGAAGAGAAGCTGAAGCACAGATTGGTGAACTGGTATCACATGGAGGCCCAGATTATTCTATTATCCTGAGCCTGATACTAAATAGTTTGGTTTCCAGAGTAAACAATGGAAATACCTTAAGAGTAAGGGGCAGAGTCATATTTCTTTTGTTCTTTCAAATGTTGAACTGGAACAGTTGCAATGTTAACAAGTGAATGGTTTAGGCAAGTTGAAAAGAAGAAAGTATGAAAATATTATATACCCTAAAAAGCCAAATGTCAAAAGCAAAATGGTTTCTATATTAAGCTTGTACTACTACGGTGATCTATCTTGGATTTTCACTTCAACCAATTTATTATATTTCTCCCCAAAAACAGGACTAAAATAATTTTAACTAACTGCTTATTTTACACAGAACAGAGTATTTACTTATATAATTTAACTATAATCTATCATATGTTCCCAGTAATTTTTATGTGCTACACACACACACTATTTAACAAAAAACAACATATCAGAATTACGTGTTATATGGCATCTATATTTACATCATAAACATGCACATACACATACACATATGTATACCTAGTTTCATTTTTCAAAGTTATTCTCATCCAAATTATTCAGAACTTAATCTTGAAGAGAGTTTGAGATGACAAATATTGGAAATTCATTCATAGAAAGGAAAAGTTACAATTTCATTCATATTTTATATTACTTAAGAGCAAAAACATCACAAATCCTTAAAGAAGCAAATGTCATACAGCTGTCCTTACTTACAATTATTTCTATTCTATTCCATTCCCCAATAATGAAAAACAGGGTGAATGCCATGAAATAGAAGTCAAAGTGATTAAACTGAATAATTATATCAATCCAGATGTTCTTTTTTTGTGTGATAAACTTGCTTGATAATAATCCCTTCACAAACCGACCTATATCTCAAGGGAATTTGAGGATTAAAACTTAATTTAAAACTTGGTTAAGATATTCCTTGAACTCTTTAGAGAAAAAGTCTAAAGCAAATGCAAAGAAATTATCATTAAAGTCAGTCAAAGCAATGCTTGCATTTTTTCTCCCTAAAGAACACAAACTTAGAATTCACAGAACTATTTTATTAGGCAAGAAAAGGCTTATTTATTACATTTACAATGAGTTGATTTTAATGTCTCTTTTTATGAAATCATTATATATATTTGCCTCTTTAAAATAGTTTCTTAAAATATTAAGCCAAGAACTGACTTGTATGTGTGTGTGTGTATATTATATACATACATATACACATACACATACATATGTATGTATATGTGTGTATATATATATACACACACACACATACAAGTCAGTTCTTGGCTTAATATTTTGCTCTCAAGAAACAAGTATATCATTACTTTAAATATTAAAATTGTTGTAGTAATATTTCCATATCTAAACTAGGAAACCATTCAACTTTATTGTTATTGCAGTGCTTGTTTCCATGGCAACTTCTTCACTCTGTTGGTAATCATGGACTCACAGGTGCTAAAGGGGCTTCGAAAGTATGTAATAGAACGTTCTCATTGCTCATTTAGGAAACTGAGGATCAAACTTTCAGATTTGTGGCTTCCTCACTGCCAGCCCCGTGGCTAGTGTCAGAGCAGAAATAAAAAATGGTGGTTCTGGCCCCGTTCTAGCATTCTTTCACCTACACCATACTGCCAAGTACTATTCTAAACTAACACTAAAATTAGCACACACACGCGCACGGAAACACATCCCATATATATACCATATATATAAATATCAACAAACTCAAGTAGTTTGCTTAAGTTAGGCTACTTTGTGAGTCAAACTATGTTTTTTATGTTTTTTTTCGTATTACAAATGAAAATATTTTGGCATGATAATGACAAAATGACTTGCTGGCTATGGACCCCCAAAACAATTGCTTAAAAAGGGAAAAAAAAATCAGTACTAAACAGTGATTTTTGTCTACTTAACCTCTCAAACTGCTTTACTACAAATTTTTCTAATTATACTGAAGGTGACTATTGTTCAGGAACTTACAATTATAAATAATAAAACTTAAAAGATACAAAGAAAATCTTTAGTAATATCTATGCAACTTATTTCATGGTTTCAATTTGACAGCCACTATAAGAATAGAAAATACAAGACACTATAAGGAAAAATAATTCTATGTAATCAAATTTTCATCTATAAATAACAGATTCTAAAGTCTACATCTGTGCCAACACAGTAGCCAGTAGTCCCTTGTCAGGCTGATGAAATGTGGTTACTTTTTTTTTTTTTTTGAAATATGGTTATTCAGAACCAAGCTGTGCTATAAATAGAAAATACACAGCATAGTTCAAAGACTTGGCCCCAAACAAGGAATGTAGAATATCTCAAGTTTATACTGATTATATGTTTGAAAGAGGATTTACATATCATTACATAAAATATATCTTTGAAATTAACATTCCCTGTGTTTGTCTTGTTTTTTTGTTTTGGAGTTTGGTTTGGTTTTGTTTTTTTTTACTTTTTAATGTGGCTATTAGAAAATTTTAAATTACATATGTGACTTGCATTTATGGTTCACATTCTATTTCTACTAACCATTACTGATCTAAACCATTCACATGCTAACCTTCCTGTCTGAAATATCCCATTGCTCATTTTTTAAAATCCAGAACATGCCCTACATTATCAAATGAGACCTGTCCTTGAATGCTTTTTAAAAAGCATCTGTCCCATCAGGAATCGAGCACTCTCCTTCTATAAATTGCAAAAGCATCTTGCTTCTGACCCCACCCATATTATTCCAGTCCCACTACTAAGATTCAAGTTCCTAGCAATCGGTCTATGTACGATTTTATGTATGTTTGGAAGCTGCTTCAGCAAAGAATCAGTAAATTTTTGTTAGACAAGTAAGCAAATATATGTAGTACATATATTCTCAGTTCACTCTCTCTCAAAGCTGTCTTGAGAGGTCAGAATTTTCTAAAATAGGTTCATGACTTAATAAGAGGATACATACCAGCTGATTGTCAGATACTGTAGAGGATGGCGAGGATAGGTTTGCCTGCAAAATTTGAAACATGTTGTTCATTTAGTGAAATTCATAATTTAACAAATATCTATATTTTTTAAGTTTTTTGAAGTTCTTTTATTATTAAAGAATACACATCCACTATAGGATTTTGAAAAGTATAAGGTAAAAGTAAAAACATCATTATGTCACCAAAAAATGATGTGAACATGCTTGGTACATTGCCTTACAATATTTTCCATCACCTAACAAGGAATAAGATGTTTTACGTGTTACTTTTCCTTAACATCTTAATATAAGTACTATCATAAAACATCAAAAATTCTTCAAGATGACATAATATTTCAGTCTCTGTATATACTGCACATTTTCCCTAAACATACTAGCATTGGTGGATGTTTAAATTTGTTTACAGCAAATTGACACAACAGATTTTTTTTTCTTAAAGTATCTTTATATATGAAGGAAAGCATAACAAAATTTTCATGATTTTGGAAAGAAACAATTTAGTTTAAAAAAAAAAAACAAAACTGTTTTCAATCAAAGGGGAGGCTAATATCATTTCTTCCTTCTTGGTTCCTGAACTTCACTCCTTCCATCTGGATTTAGTTTCCTTCTTACTGAAGTAAATGTTGCGGTAGTTCTGCCACACCCTACTGTCATGGACTATGCCTGCCAACGTTTTTTTTTTGTGCTCATTCTTGAATGAGAGTTCAACTGGATATAGAATTCTAGGTTCAGAGTTATTTTCTCTCAGCATTTCTCAGACACTGTCCCATGGCTCTGGCTTCTGTCAGTGTTGTCAGTCTAAATGTCCTACCTTGGTGGATCGTTTGTCTTCACACTTGGTAAGCAATTAATACTTTCCTCCATGGGGCACCTGGGTGGCTCAGCTGGTTAAGCATCTGACTCTTGATTTCGGCTCAGTTCATGATCTCAGGGTCATGATCTCAAGGTTGTGAGATTGAGGCCCCCCCCCCTCCCGTGTTAGGCTTTGCACTCACCGCAGATTCTCCTTGTCCCTCTCCCTCTGCTCCTCCCCCAACTCATGCTCTCACTCTATCTCTGAAATAAATAAAATCTTAAAAAAAAAAAAAACTTTTTTCCATACACTCTGTTATTTCACCATGCTATATGTGAGGGTGGATTTCTTTTAATGCTTCTTTTTTGAGATTTGGTTTGGTCCATCATTCTGAGTATGCATATCTTTCTTCAGTTCTGGAAAATCTTCCATGAGTAACTCCTCAAATATTGCCTTTCTCACATTATGTCTCATCTCTTCTTAAGAAGATTCTATTAAATATATATTTAGTTTTTTAATCCATCTAATTTCCCTTCATATTTTTATCCCTTTATGCTGCATTCTGCATGGTTTCCACACATACACTTGACAGTTAACTAATTTTTCTTCAATTTTATATTAATAAATGAATTGAAATGACAATGGAATTTTATGTTTTAAAGACTTACTTTTACCTTCACCTTCTGGAAGTTCTACTTGGTTCTTTTTCAAATCTTTCTTATAATATCTATAATTCCTTTTAACTAGTTTAATATTTTTATTTTTTTATTTAATTTTATTTTTTCAGTGTTCCAAGATTCATTGTTTAACATTTTTAATATGTTTTAGACTTACTAAATAGTGAAAGTTAAAATCTGAGCTCCTGGCTCCTGGCACACAGGTTCTGATGTACCTGTGTTCCACCAAAGCTTTAACTTCTTCACCTGGAACTCCCATTTCATTTCTGGCATTCAGAAGTTTCTCCTTCTTTACTTCAGACTGGGTCATCTAAACATTTTTAATAATTGTGGTTCATCAAGCTTTCTGCATTTAAATGGGAGGCTGGGTTCCACATCAACTCCACCCTCAACTGTGATGGGAAGCGGTCAACATACAAATGCTTAATTATAAATAATAGACTTGCCTGAAAAAGGATAAAGTGGTGTTCCTAAAATATTCTTATTCTTTTTGAAACTGCAAATGTTTTTCAAGGTGTATTATAAATATGTCAATATTCTTTTTACTTTCTGAGCTATGAATGATAACTAGGAACTGAGAGTTTAGTGGCTCTTTTGGTATCACCAAGTATATAGAAGTATGAATCACCAAACATAAGGACAAGGCACCTGTGGTCCTTCTCACACTGTGCCCAATATTGTTTGTTTTCTGCTTTTTGACTCATGCCTTTCTTCACAAGGTCTGTCGCTGCTTGCTGCCATTCCTGGTTGCTCTCTGGCAGCAGGGTGTCTTGGCTAAACGCTCCCCATCTCTAATTGCTGGGACCAGGTTAGTGGTTAATGTGCACCAAGGTTTATGGTTATGCTGTGCTGCAGGAAATTGCCTTTCAGAATATTCATCACATTCAGTCCACCTAGGGTTTTGTTTTTAACCTCATAATGTAATATGAGTAATAATTATTTCCTCTAAAGTCTTCATTTTTTTCTCTTAAGTTAATTTCTCATTATTGCAATAGTGAGAGGATTTTCTATGAGTCCCATAACTTAAGTTAATAGCTTCTAAGACATATGCTGAAACAAATGTATTTTGACCGAAACCTATCATAGTTAAGTTTTCATCTCAATAATTATAGGAAAGAAGGGATTACAGATCAAAAACAAAGTACTGATTCATCTGTGTATAAAGAAGATGTGGTCTATATACACATGGAATATTACTCCGCCATCAGAAAGGATGAATACCCAACATTTGTATCATCATGGACAGGACTGGAGGAGATTCTGCTGAGTGAAATAAGTCAAGCAGAGAAAGACAATTATCACAGGGTTTCACTTATTTGTGCAGCATAAGGAATAACATGGAAGACATTAGGAGAAGGAAGGGAGAAATGAAGGGGGGTAATCAGAGGGGGAGATGAACCACGAGAGACTATGGACTCCAGGAAACAAATTGAGGGTTTTAGAGGGGAGGCGAGGTGGAGTGATGGGTAAGCCTGGTGGTGGGTATTAAGGAGGGCACGTATTGCATGGAACACTGGGTGTTATACACAAACAATGAATCATGGAACACTACATCAAAAACTGATGATATACTGTATGGCTACTAAGATAACATAATTAAAAACATCTTTTTTAAGTATTTGTGCAATTTAACCACATTACTGACATTTATCAGTGTGTAGTGCTTAATAATACCAAACTATTAGAGGGAAAAAAGATTAAATGTTCAAGAAAAGTTGTGATTAAATTAAGGAAAAACCCAAATACCTTTGAACCAAAATTCCTTTACTGGGAATTATAACATTACAATAAGATACTCTAAACATCCCAATTCCATTTTTATTTTATCTTTTACAATGGATTTCATATCATTTATGTGAGAAACTCTTCCCAGAGAAGGACAGAATTAAATGTCTCCCTCAGGGTGACATAAATATTTATAAAACCACTGCAGATCCTTCACCAAAGAAAAAGAATATTGGCTTCTGTGTATTATGAATATAACCGGATCTTTTCAACCAAGCCAATCATGTCAAGCTCTTTGAGAAGCCTCACTTTGTTTGCCTAATACAGGTTAGCAGGGTTTATTAAATGTTATAGGTATAAACATGTTATTAATTTTGTAGCAATTATTTTCCAAAAAGGGAGAAAAGCCTGTTTGGTGAACTGAGATCGGAGCAGCGAGAGGTGGGAGAAAGTTATTCTGTCTGAACCACTGCTCCTTGGTCAGTGAAGGAAGGTAGAGAAGCAACTTGATGTTCCTAAGACTAAACTTGAAATTGGATTTGAATAACAACAAAGATTTTAGTTTTTCGTGTCTATCCACATTAATACTAACTGTGAGAAACAACAATACAGAGGAGTGTAAGGATGGCTGTTGTGTGAAACAAAATCCTACAATCTATTCTAAGGCCTTTAACATCATTTTAATCATAAAAGAAAGAAAAGGAATGTATAAGAAAGGGGGAGGATCCATGTTAACTAACATAACATCATTTGAAAAGCTTAGAAAGCAACAAAGACCAAAAAAAAAAAAAAAAATGTGAAAGGCAAAATTTCTTACTTCAGAGAAAATCTATTAATGAGTTAGAGTATATGGAAAAACAAAGAGCTAAAGACAAAGTCAAGAAAGGAGAATTTGAAATCCACTGAAAAATAAATTGCTCTACAGGGCCACCACTGCCCCAAACCAGCTTTGGAGAAACCATGTTCCTTTTCCAAAGACTTGCTGTTAGAGACATAAGAAGTACAATGAAGCTCCTTAGTCATCGTCTACATTGTTTTTCCTTGCCATGTGCAGCTTTTCCTCATTCTTGACACATGTCTTTTTGGCTGGCATCACACTAGCAGACACCCTCTTGGGGGACTGGAACAGAACCCAGTTGTACCAGTTGTCTTCGCCTTCTGTACTCTACACTTCCACTTGCTTGCTTTTTTCCCTTTCAGCAGTCACATCACTCCCACCTGAATAAAACAGCCAGTTCACTATCATTAAAGTGTTTTTCTTCCACCTTTTCTCTGTTGACTCTTGTCCTGAGTTTCCTTTTCTCATGGCTCAAAGAAGTTTACTTAGTGATAATGTGTTAAATGAATTATGTTACTTCTCCCAGGCAGAAAGACAAAGCTTAAGATATTAACTGAGCCCCTAGTCATCATTGAGTGCTGAGACATAAAATGATAAAATGATAAAACACTGTCTTTCCCTTAACCTAGCAAATGCTCCTGTTTTGTTTTGTTTTTTTAAGATTTTATGTATTTATTTGTCAGAGAGACAGGCATAGCGAGAGAGGGAACACAAGCAGCGGGGAGTAAGAGAGGGAGAAGCAGGCTTCCTGCCGAGCAAGCAGCCTGATGTGAGACTTGATCCCAGGATGCTGGGACCATGACCCGAGCTGAAGGCAGACACTTAACAACTGAACCACCCAGGCACCCCAAGTGCTCCTGTTATTTGTACATAAGTCACTATGTATGCAAAAGAATGAATCCAATAGTAAGAATGTTAGGCACCAAGCCCATAGCGATATATTATGGGGCATCATATCTTTTTTGCTTCACATTCTTTACTCTAACCCTCT